TATATTATATATTATACATTATACATTATATTTTTAATATTATAGATTATATACCATATATTATATAGTTTTTTTATATTATATATACTGTATTATATATATCATCTTATATATATATATATATATTATACATTCTTGAATTTATATCATATATTATCTGTTATATACTATATATTTTTTATGTCATATTTTATAGTATATAGACTATATAATATATGATACACTATCTGTTCTTTATTTTATATTCTATATTATATATTATAGTATATATTTTCTATATCTTATCTTATCTATTATATTATATATATATATATATAAATGAATGACTGTGACACCATTCAGAGGTTTGTTCGCGGCTTAATTAGAGCTTGCAATGGGGCAGCCACTGAACTGCGAAAAGGGTTTGGCTGCGGGTGTGCCCCAGAAGTTAGGAGGGGCCAGGACCTGTACAGCATTCCCATGAAGAATCCTGTCTCACGCCTCTCTCAGCTGTTCACGACACCGGCTTTCGGTAGTCCGCTCACGGCTGCATTCCAAAGCTCATCTCGAGTAGGACGCCATGCAATGCCATGCAGCATCCGGGCTCCCGACCCGAAAAATGACGAGTTTTTTCTCGGTCCCGTTGGCGGCACGGATTTTGTCCTGCAGTTCCTCCTAGTCAAAGGCATCGAAAGTTTCGAATCGAAAGCATCGTTGAAGGCTTCGTAGGAGAGGGCTGACTCCGCTTCCTCGAGCTGGCCGGCGGCGTAGGGCCCGGGCACTTTGCGAGGCCATGCATGGCCTTGTTCATTGCCTTGTACTGGGCGTTCGTCCAGTAGTCGTTAAGGCCTTCGGTCCTGACGTCTTGGATCTCTCTGATCTTGTACCTCACGATGTCGGTGACCTCGTGGTCGTACAGGGGATAGTCAATAGGGCTTGATGGCCTGCCTCGCACCAGAAGTAGGTCCGTAAGGGCCCGGTGTGCTTGCTTCTGGACCGGGTCCAACGTGTCTCCGAGGTCTCCCTGCATTCCAGTCTGGACCTGGGTCGGTATGGCTGGGTATATAGGTCATGCTCCAGAGGTCGCCATTCCTTGCTCCCTATTCCGGGTCCCGAAGCATCGGTGGTGAAGCCATGGTGGCGCAGGGTGGTCACGCAAGCCGGAGAAGCCCTCAAGTGAATAACCAGCTTATTCTCCGTCCCAGCACTGCCTTCCACAGGCTTGGGCAGATGGTGCCCGTGGCATTGAGCCTGTGGAGTGCACCTGAGAAGAAGTGGACGGCTAGGGAGCATTTCTTGTCGAACCACGTGCTGCATGGACGACAGTACGGGGTAACCTCCAGGAAGCGGGCAGCTTTTTTGTACAGGGTCCAGATCGCAATGCAGTGTAGGTGGCGGTGGCACTAGTCATCGAAGTCGCAGAGCAGCGCCTTCCTGTTCATTCCTTTGATCCGCTAGTCCGAATTCTTGAGGAGGGACCGCCATTCCTTCCGGCCATGAAGCTGCTCCAAGACAAGGCCAGGCCTTTTCCCTTTGCTGTAGCCAGGCAAGGTCTGATTGGAGTTGACGGCACCAAAGTTGTTCTTTTTGTAGCATGGCCCACAGCCCAGAAAGGCCAGTTGCAACCAGGGAGCAGTTTCAGAGGAAACCGATCCTGGCTTTTCGGGCAATGAGGGGCATGGGGAAGCTGTTAACCAGGGCATGTGCCAGAGGATTGGGCAGTTGAAACAGGGCATCGCCCGTAAAGTGCGAAAGCAGACACCGCAGGATCTTGGTGTAGCCCGACTCAAGCTTGTCCCTGTGGGATCCACATGGCCACGTTGACGAAGGTCGGACGGATCGCCGCCTCAAGGGAGGGCAATCGTCTTGTTGCCGTACATCAAGGCCTTTCCCTCGTCGGAGGTTCGCAGCGATTGCGAGCCGCCGGCGCATCTCTGAATGCATGTTGCCGCGGTGGTCAAGGACTCCTCCAAGGCTGGTGTGGCCGCTGTCGTCGAGATCGACACCTGCGCGCAACTGTGCTTGCCGTCTCTGAGAAGAAGAGGCGCTTCGCAGCTTGGGTGCCTCTACCACCAAGCCGGAGCAGCAGTGCGGTTTTGCCAGGTTTGAGGTTGGGAACCATTCCCAGCTCCTACTGCAGCAATTGGTGAGGACCAACGCGGAGAGTCGCCCAGCAGCTTGTCCGGACTGCTGTCAAGCAGCAGTCGTCGGCCCATGTATTGTCCGGGACCAAGACTGGTTCGCCATCTCGCCCGTCAGAGTAGATGCCGGTGGCAGCATCGTAGTTGAGCTTCTCGATCAACTCCGCCTGTGCCATTGCCCTGACACTATACAGCACACAGCCGACTGCTAACCCTCTGGCAACTCTTATAAGCTGCCTTGGAGTCGAGGAATACAATTCCTGCCGATTGGCCTTGCTGAATCGCTGCCCTCAGGTGCGCCATGATCAGCATCGCCGGGAAGGTAACAGGGGCACCTCGTCGCGATCCCATATGCAGGGGGTGGAGTACCCTTTCTATCACGTCTGTCACTCTGTCTTTCATCAGTCGGTGGCCGAGGAGGCTGCTGATGAAAAGGGACCTGTGACACTCTGGTAGGGCCTGGCTGCCGAGAATAAGATGCCTCCCCGCCACCGCACCGGTTGACGGAAAGACTTCACGGCTTTCGCCATCAAAGCATGTGTGTTCCTCGCCAGGGTGGCTGCTGGGGCAAAAGCTCATAAAAGCTCCCCAAGGTAGCTCTTCGTCCTCGTAGATACAGCGATCCGCGCGACCACTAAGGAGGTCTTCGTCTATGCTCTTTGCCTTGCATTCTTGGTCGCCGAAGTGCTTGAGCCAGACCATTTCCGCTTCTGCCTTGGAGCTGGTGGGCCTTTGCTCAGCATCCAACAGCATGGGGGGATCCAATGGTCGAAGGCGCCCATAGACGGTGTGTGCTGAAATTGCAGCAGCTTTTCTTCCATTCTGGTCTGGTCGGGCTGCGTCCTGCGAGATCTCCGGTGACGTGGTCGTAGGGGCACGGGCCACGGGATCCTGCCGTGGAGGTCGATGCCGATGATGGTGAGCTGCGTGTGTGGACGATCAAGATGCGCTTCGAACGTGAGAGGAAACCATCAGCTTCTCGGCGCTTGGCCGCATGCCGACAGTGCACGGAGATCAGGGCGATGCGCGCACCACCGAGATTGACGACCAACATGAGGATCCTGTCAGTCTAGACCACAGCACAGTCGCCGTGATCGACGTGTCTTGTTTTGCCGGTTATGGTGAGGAGCCCATGTCTCCTACCCACCCATATCCCGACGCCCCAATGTTTATTGTCCTTCAGTGTGAAGGCGTAGGTACCGCTGACACCGCTGAGTCATACACAAACTTGACTGGTCTTTGTGCTCCTGTACAAAGAGCACATGGTACTGCGTGCTGTCAAGTTGCTCCTCGGAATAGCGGTGTTTGCCGGCCATCCCCTGCGTGTTGACGGTGGCAACTGTCATGCAGAACTCAGCATGGCCTTCATGATCTCCCCACGTCTCGCGCGTGACCGGGACGAGCTGGGAGGGCGTCAGAGGGCTGTGTGGCGAGAAGGCTCCATTATCGTTAGACCAGCAGAGCTCACCACATCTGAGGGGAAGGGTGCCATGCAGCAAAGCATGCACTTCTGCAGCCAACCAAGACAAGATCGACCGAAAGGAAGGTCTCGCTGGTGGCTCGAGGGGGCCCCGACATAGCAGATTGGCCCTTGGCTGGTGCTTTGGCCATCTCGTCGGCCAATTTATTCCAAGGGGTTCTTAATTTGGTGTGCTCGTACCTGCGAGAAGTTGATCCCACCTTTGATAAAGTCCCTAGTGAAGAGCTCGACGTGGTGGAGCTTCTCGTTGAAGGAATTAGGGGGGTTCCAGTTGCCCATCCAGCACTGGTGGTGCAGTCGAAGTGGGTGTGGCAGGTTGCGTGTTGGAGAATCGGAGCACGCTGTACGTTCCAAAAGCAAAGCTACGGCACGCGCGCCTTGTTCGGCTCGAAGTGCCATTGGCTCCCGAAGGGACCAGACTGTGTCGCTGGTGCCTTCCAGCTGCTCTCCTAAACGGCCAAAGGGGGCATAAGCGGCACCAATCTTGATCAGGATAAAACCTCCGTAAGCTGGGGTGGCCGAGCCGTCGGTATTGTAGACGTGAAATTCCATGTTCTGTTTGGGGCTCTCGGCTTGAAGGAGCTCCTGCCACGGCATGGCCTCGTCGAGGGCCTGTTTGGTATCAGGTTTTACTTTGATGCTGGTCCCATGGCTTCAAAAGTTGTAGTAGATCATGTCCAATGGTGTGGGAGCCTGGTGCGGTGCTGGGTAAGGGCATAGACCTGGGCGTTGCTGGACCGGCCGGGAGGTTGCTGTCAGGTCCAGGTGTTCGCTCAAGAGCAGACGTGTCGGAGGTTTTCAGCCGGGCCAGATAGGGCGGCCTCTCTTCCGTGCGGGCTGCGGCTTCGGTTTTCATTCACCGGCTGAGGGGCCGGGGGCCCAAAGGGGCCAGGACCACTGGGTGGAGTATGGTTGGAGAAGTCCGAGGAGTTGGGGATGGGGTTTGTGCCCTCGGATTCCCCGTCTTCGCTGTCTTCGTCATCAGCGGAGCTGTATTGCGACCCTTTGTATCCATCGGCCGGCACCGCGCAGGTCGAGGGTGATAGCCTTCCAGCTGTCCGGCGGGTAATTTGCTCGATCCAGTACAGCTACCAGCGAGTGAATTCTACTGAATTCTCCTGCGTTTCCGTTAGAGTCTATGGGGCCTGCTGGTAGGTGCTCTCAGCCAGAAGAGGGCCTGGTCGAGGGAGAAGGCTTCACTCGCAACTTCTCCGAGGGTCACATTTGTGCCTCGGGTGGTCTGTGGAAGTGCTGGTGCTCCTCAGTTTGGAAGACGACGAATTTGCCATCGTAGTGCCCTGGATGTTCCGTGTCGGGCTTCCAGCGATCCGGGTCCTGGAAGCGCTGATATATTTGTGAAGGCCAGTCCACAACTTCCCCGCGCCGTAGGACCTTAACGATCCCTCCGTGCCGAGCAGGTGTGGTCGTTTTTTCATTGAGGGGAGTTAGGCCCCTTCGCGGGTGATGGGGCCCCCGCAGTAGACCGTGAAAAATCCTCAGCCATCAGCGCTTTCTTTCGAGAATGCTCGACCCAGGCCGGGAGGATGAGGACCGTGCCATAGTCCTCGTCGAGTTGCTGTTATGTGAAGATGGCCGTCGAGAGCCAATCAGCAGTGACTACAGTTGCCGACTCCTCCCTTGCCACATGGATGCGGCGCCGGTGAACAGCTCGCTTCCTGCGGAGCTGCCTGTGCCAGCACGGCGATTTCACTATGGCTGCGCGTGCACGGGGCACTTGGGGCTCACACCCAACAATGTTAGGCCGAGCGACGCCCCCCATATCTGCACTGCTACTACTAGGCTTCGTCCGCCAGGTCAGAGTGTAGTGTAGGCCATAAGCTACCACCGGTAAGACGCCACATTATTGAGTCACTTTTTGTTCAGAACGGGCCATCCTGAGAGTGCGCTTTTTGCGTATTTTACGCGCTCCTAGACACACCAAACACAGATAGGAATCAGAACTAACCACATCGACGGATAGTACAACCCATGCAAACGCCGAAAGAGAAATGCAAGAATTACGAAAAATACAAAAGCCAGAAAAATTGAAAGAATCAAAAAAACCAAAAAAAAAGTAAAAACACAAAAACACAAAAAACAACAACAATATAAAAAAAAAACAAAAAAACAATGGTTCGAGACTTGAGCCTCATCCATATATATTTCTGAGAGTTCCTAAATATTGTTTTTTTTTGTTTTTGTATGGTTTTTTTGGTTCTCTTGCCCTGTCCCTGGTCGTGTTGTTGGTTTTCCGCGCGCGGCTACCTGCGCGCAGGGAATCTGCGTGAGGTCGTCCCTCCGTGCCAATCAAGAGAACTTCAAAATTGCATGTTTCCGTGTTGTTGGCTATTTTATTACATGCTGCAATATCGGCAGCACTATTCTATTGGTATAAACCCTTAGCGTTAGCTGTTCCTAATGCATATAGATCTATAAAAATGCAAAACTACAAAATGTGCAAGCGTAACGAATGTGTGCGTATATTCATAATACAGGTGTATATATTCATGGCATATACTCACCAATTGCAATATTACTGCCATATCAAGTAGACCAATTTAAGAAAATATGTGCTGAATATATATATATATATATATATGTGTGTGTGTGTGTTCCATACTCCCCAGATGTAATCAAATATATAAAATTCAGCGTAGGCAAATACTAGCTGCACGCTTCATCAAAACGTCGCATATACGGTTATGTCTTCATGTCAGTATTCGGGTGCATCGAAGGCTTTGCATGAAAATATGCTCGTATGCCGCTGCACGTGCCTGAAAGTGACTTTGCTTGTAGCTGTGAACTATATATCAATTCCATGAATACTGACCAACTTCCATCCCTTGTTGAGGGTAAGTACGAACATACGAAAGGTGACATGTACCCGTGTGTATATATATATATACATGTAATCAGTGAACTAATTGTACATTTTGGCTGTTAGCATTTGTATTGGTACGGACTCAAAAAAGATTTGCTTGTTATGTGTACGTTATCAGAGCAACCCTTAATATGCAATAAGTACAAACATGATCCAACATAAGCGAACTGAATAGACATATGTATATCCAACATATACTCGCCCGAAGACCTTATCGTTGTGATTCATGTACATACAGACATAAATGTACATATATGCATATATATATATATGTGTGCAGGTCGTCATCTTCACTCCATCATATCTGTTCTTGGCTTTCTGAGCCTTGGTTGCTTAAACCATTGGGTGTCGTCTATACGATATGGCAAATGATACTTGTAGTTCATGAACCTACATCACCATGTTGCCGTAAACAACGCACCCACTTACATATGTATGTGTGTGTACTCATTCACGTATATGTATATAGACATATAAGCAAACAAACAAGTTAGTAAATATATACATACATACATATATATCTATAAATACAAAAATATATATATGTGCATCGGTGCCTCTATTTCTCTACACATATATATATAGGTCATTATTACCCTTTTGTGTTGCCACTTGCCCGATTTGTTCAATACAATGCCTGGAAAAAGCATAAACCTGTACATACATACATACATACATACATACATACATACATACATACAGGCATACATACATATCAGTATATCGTTTACAGACCTATATGTATATATGCATATATATATATATGTGTGCTTGTTTATCTGCGTGTATATGCATGTACATAACAGCATATATACATATATGTATAGATCTATAGATATTTCTGTAGATGTGTATGTATCTACATATTTTGTATGTCTCGGGTGTTTCATGTTGTGGGAAAAACGGATCCGCTAAAAGAACAAGATATTGGAAAATAGCTGTTCTTTTTAGTCGCACATACTGTTGACTTGCAGGACGGTGCATTTTAGACGATATGCTATACGTGTTCATTTGCAGACTTACGTCTTTTGATAGAATACAGATTCAGCGTAGAGTTTGTGTGCTTGGCACCCCGTGATCTTTCATGTCGTATCGCACATAGTGAATGTTATTTTATATAGTATGAGGGTAATGTGTACTTGGGAGTGCCATTAGACACATAAACATGCTACATGTATACATGCATGCAAGTGGATATATAGAAAGGCCTGCATACAAGCACGTATACATACAAAAACAGCTACATACATACATATTTGCATACATACATACACACACACACATACATACATATACGCACATGAACGCATATCCATATAAATTATACAAGCCGATTCGATAACGGTAACATTAGATAACGGTAACATTAAAGATTATTCAAGCCATAACAACAACTAAAAAAGCGCACTCCCACAGCGACCCGGACTCTTTTTGTTTGGGGAGGGCGGGGGAAAGGGGGCCCAATCAGACCCACATTACAGCGAGGAAAAGGACCTTGCAACAAAAGCACATAGCGTAAACCCAATCCAGAGGCAAGCTCATTTGCCGGCCCGTCCTGTACTCCGTGATTGCGTTTTGTGTCGCCGTGCCCGGCGTGGCCATAACAGCAGCAGGCTGGTGGGGTCGGTTTAGATGCAGTTTGGAGTGGGTTCAGGCTTTGGGGTTTGCGGGCTAGGTTTGATGTGGGATGGGCAAGCAGCCACAACCAAAAGTTTCTGCCATCATAGTAAGACGTCGCGGGAATTGAGGTTTATCTCCATTTCAGGAAACGGTTTGCAGCCTGGGATTAGGCACCTCGAGTTGTTTTAGGTGGGGTTCCGTTTTTCGTTCCCTGTACTCGTACGGTCAAGTCCGGCAGGCTCCCAGCCTGACCGAGTTCGGATCTTAACCCTCGCCCCGGAAAACTGCTTGCATAGCTCATGGGCCTATGGGTGTGATGTTTTGGATCTGGGGGTCGTTCTGCGTTGCTTGTATGTGTGTGTGTGTGTCTCTTTTGTTGGTTCTTTTCATTCTTCGTGTTTGTTTCCGGTCTCAGCTAGGAACTTCATGCGTTTTGGTGGGCTGAGTGGTGTAAAGGCCTATTCTGCTTTGATTACTCCAGTGGGCGTGGTGCTCCCGGATACAAGTACCGCGACGTATTTCGTGTCAGCTTTTTTGTATCGTGCGATTGTCAGGCTGGCCGGCCATGTACGCCGGAGAGCACTCCTGGGCACCCATTGGGATGATCTTTGCTTGCAAGCTGGATATGTTTAGGGTTCAGGATTATGGCTAAGGAGCTGCATGCTGTGGTAAAATTCCGTTTGTGCGCGCTAGGGGTTTTGAAGAATACCAGGACATGTGTTATTTCTTGGTGCGCTGGCGTTGGCATCGTAACTCGAAAGCCTGTTTTTTCGGCTAGGCTGGACTCCCTTATCCTAAAACTGGCGAAGTGATGGGGGTCTGTGGGGTCTAATTCAGGGTGTCCTTTTGCGACGCTGGCAGCTTCAATCAGGTACGTTGTGCTATGTTTGTTGCTTGTGCACGGTTTTCCAAGCAACAGTGGCGATTATCTCAAACGTGATGGTGCCGACCGTTGCTGATGGCGATTGAAAACATCATGATACTGCTGATGCTGCTTATGTTGTTGTTGTTGTTGTTGTTGTTGCTGTTGTTGTTGTTGTAGTTGTAGTAGTCGTGGTAGTAGTAGTAGTAGTAGTAGTAGTAGTAGTAGTAGTAGTAGTAATCGTCAGATCGGAA